ACCCACAAATGCAAAGGCTGACACTATTCATGTGAATAGTGACAGCCCTTGCTTGCCCTTGCCTTAGACTTAGCCCTTGTGGGTGGAGATGCTCTAATAGTGTTCCACCGACTTAGTATCTAAGATATTTTGCTACTCATAGCCGACATCTCTCATCCAGTTTTTAGGCTTTAAGTTTAACTTCTCTAGAATTTTGTGGAGACTTTCTGGTCTCTCATTTCTCGTTATTTGCATATTTTTATGATTACATATAGCCCTCGGGCCCGTGTATGCATGATTGACTTGTAAGTTTGCAGGTTTTGGATAGCGATATGGCGTCTTCTTCTTCTCCTCCTTTTGCTGCCCCCCTCCAAGAAAAATATGACGTGTTTCTTAATTTCAGAGGTGAGGACACGCGCGATAATTTTACCAGCTTTCTTCACGCTGCTTTACTGCGGAAGAAAATTGAGACCTACATGGATTACGAACTGGAGAAAGGAGACGACATTGAACCTGCCCTTCTGGAAGCAATCGAGAAATCGAAAATTGCAGTTGTCATTTTCTCAAAAGACTATGCTTCTTCCTCATGGTGTTTAAAAGAACTTGTGCATATACTGGGATGCAGGGAGCGACATGGACAGATTGTTATACCCATTTTTTATGGCATAGATCCATCACATGTACGAAAACAACAGGGAACTTATGCACTTGAAGGTCGTCAACTTAAGAAACGTTTTAAGGGGAATACAGATGAGGTGAAAAACTGGAGGGCTGCTTTAGAGGAAGCAGCCAATATGTGTGGGTTTCATGATTCAAGCAAAATAGGGTAGCCAACTCTCTAAATTGTATCAATTTCTACTTGTTATCATTTGATTCATACTTACTATTGTTTGTCTTTCATAATGATATTTTCCAGGACAGAGGCTGATTTTGTTGAGGAAGTTGTTCAAGATATTTTGACCAAATTGAATCGTGAATCATCAAGTGATTTAAGGGGTCTAGTTGGAATTGAAAAGAAAATTGAGAAAATTGAGTCGTTATTATGCTTGGATTCACGAGGTGTTTGCTGTGTAGGTATGTGGGGCATGGGTGGTATTGGCAAGACCACCCTTGCTGATTGTGTATTTCAGCGACTCTCTTCTAAATTTGAAGCTTCTTGTTTTCTTAAAAATGTGAGGGAGAACTCAGAAGAAAGAGATGGAATATATAAATTGCGTAATAAACTTCTTCGTGAGATATTAAGGGACAAAGATCTGAATATCGACACTCTGTCTATACCACCTACTACTCGAAATAGGCTCACGCGTACCAAGGTGCTCATTGTTCTTGATGATGTGAATGCTCCAGAACAACTAGAAGTTCTTGTTGGTTGTCATGATCGGTTTTGCCAAGGAAGTCGAATCATTATAACTGCTAGAGATAAAGGCCTACTTGAGCACAAAGTTGACCATGATAAGATATACAACGTTGAGGGATTAAGTTCAGATGAAGCTCTTCAGCTCTTTCACTCGCAGGCTTTCAGAAATAAGTCTCCAACAACAGAGTATGCTGAGTTGTCAAGAAAGGTCGTAGATTATGTTAACGCCATTCCATTAGCTCTGAAAGTTATGGGGTCTTTATTCCTTGGTTGCAAGAGCAAACAAGATTGGGAAGATCAACTGAACAAGTTGAAACGATTTCCAAGCGAAGAAATCTGGAAAGTGTTGAGAGTAAGTTACGATGGATTAGAAGAAAATGAGAAGGAGATATTTCTTGATATAGCATGTTTTCATAATAATTATGGAAGGGAGTATGTAAAAGAGTTCTTAGATAGTCGTGGTTTCTGTGGGGAAGTTGGGATCAAAGTTCTCATTGATAGGTCTATGATATCAATTGATGAAGAAAGCAACTGGATAGAGATGCATGATTTGTTGCAAGAAATGGGTAGGGCAATTGCTCGCAAACAATGTGTTGAAGAGAGCAGTAGGTTGTTCATTGCAGAGGATGTCCATAAAGTATTGACAAATAACCAGGTAGGTATTTTAATTATGTTATATTCACATTTACAATAAACAAGTTAGATTCCTACAAATGTAATTTTGATTAAACTTTTGGTATATTAATTTACCTTTTATACTTTGCACTTGATTGTCAGAGAGCTGCAACTGTTCAAGCCATATCCATTGACTGGTCTGAGCTACACTTGAGACATGCAAACTTCCAAAAGATGGATCAATTGAGATGGCTACATGTCCGTTATCCTTGGTGGGAAAGGACATTAATGGATTCTCTTGATCTTCCCAATTCTCTTAGTTATCTTTACTGGCAGAAATATCCTATGAAATCTTTGCCATCAAACTTTTCTGCTCAAAATCTTGTAGAGCTTCATATGCCCTTATGCCAAGTTACTGGGGCACAACTTTGGAATAAAGACCAGGTATATATGCTTATTTTAGTTCTTGTATAACGTGTGGCCTAGAAAGTAATAATATGCAAGCTAAATTATTATTAATTCTTGTCACTTCTCTTTAATTTGTTACAGAATCTTAGCAACTTAAAAGTGATCTGTCTTCGTGACTCCAAACACCTAACACAAGTTCCAGATCTCATTCGGAGTAAAAAAATTGAGCGCATAGATCTTTCTCGTTGTGAAAGTTTGGTTCAAATTCCTTCTTATTTTAAAGATTTTGACAAACTTACTCATCTTCATCTGGGAGGTTGCATAAATCTCAAAACTCTTCCAAAGATTCCATGCAATGTTAAATTCTTAGATTTATCTGAGACATCAATAAAGGAATTGCCTCCATCAGTTTGGTCTCACGAAAAAATTACAGAGATTGTTATTAGATATTGTAAAGACCTTACTAGGCTTCCAAGCAACAATTGTGAGCTGAAAGTCTCTGGTACTTTTAGTCTATGCGGCTGCAATTCTTTTTGTGAATTTTCGGAGCTTCCCAGGAATATAACAGTGCTAGATTTGAGTTTCACAGCAATAGAAGAATTGCCCTCATCGATCGAGACTGTCTTTGGTCTCACTGCAATTAAACTGACCTACTGCAAAAGCCTTGTGAGTCTCCCAAACATTTGGAAGTTGAAATCTCTTAAGAGCCTTGATCTCAGACATTGCTCCAAATTCAAGAACTTCCCAGAAATCTCGGAGGCTATAGAACATCTAGAATTTCTAAATTTATCAGGTACAATGGTTAAAAAGGTACCCCCATCAATTGGAAGTCTAGTTGCGCTTCGAAAATTAGACATTGCTGAGTGCAGTATACAAGAAATCCCTAATGACCTCTTTTGCTTAACCTCATTACAAGAGTTAAATCTAAGCAGGACCTTAATTAAGAGCATTGATGCAGAATGCATATTATTAGTTTTCCTTATTCTACTTGGATTAGTTTTCCTATTATTAGTTCTCCTAACTCTTAAAAGGTTCCTTCTTGGTAAAGGATTTCTTATTAGCTAATTTGCTTTCCTATTTCTTAAAGATTCCTTCTTGTTAAAGGATCTCTTATTAGTTCATTTGCTTTCCTATTTCTTAAAGATTACTTTTCCTTGTCCTAGGCTAAAAAGGGTTTTGTCTCTATAAATAGAGCTGTTTGTAATCTTTTAAGGCAGACTTGATTAATGATAAACTTCCTTACTTTAAACTCTCTGATTCCTTCCCTTTCCCTTCGTCTCTTCGATCTCTAATTCTTCTCTTCGATCCCTTATTTCTTCCCTGCTCTCTTGCTCTAGTGTTTACTCTAAACCTAAAGGCTATTTACTCTAAACCCACGGGCTGTTCTACATCAATTGGTAATCAGAGCCTTCCCTCACTTTCGTTTGCGTTTTCTCTCTACCATGGCACCCCAAACCGTGGCCAGCCTTGCAGAACAATTTCATGCGTTCCGCGACAAAGTTTCTGACGATATCGCTGGCATGGAAACCCAACTCTCCAAACTCAGCGTTGACTTCAAAGACGAGTTGGTACAGGCTCACACACATCGTGCGCAGACGGACCTTGCCATCACCAAACTCCAAGACTCCGTTCAGTTGCTTATCAATCACTTTCGGGCTGGACGTGCTGACCCTTCTACCTCCGCGGTGCTCTCAAGTTCATCTACGCCAACACCAACGAGTGGCCTTCTGCCCACTTTTGGAATAAAATTGCCAAATTTTGCAGGCGAAAATTCTAAGGAAATCGAGGAAGTAAAAAAAGAGTGGGAGCATCAACTTTTGCAGAACACTATGGATATAGAGTTGAATGAGTTGAACAAACGCTTGGAGCAAAAAGAGGTTTTACTTTCATCTATCTTTCCATATGCAAGTTATCCATGGGATGGGATTGAACTTGAAGAAAAATACTTATAATCCAACTAATATATGTACTATGTTTATAAGTTCTTTAAATAATTTCATTTCATACATGCATAACTGATCTAATGGTTGAAAAATATGTCCGCATACTTTGGAAGATGCATATTGCCACGCATTGGAAGCTGAAACCTTTTTGCGTCCACAACGTAGATATACAGGGCATCTTGGGCACTCTTCCACTCCTACTCCAAACCGTAGTACTCCTAGCTCTAAATATGGCGTCTCCGGCCCACCTGCTCCTCCGATACCCGCAACAGAAAAAGGACCAGTCCCATCCACGGCTGCTCACATCGAATGTTATCGTTGCCATGCTAAGGGCCACATCGCCTCTCGTTGTCCCCACAGAACTTTAACCCTTGGCTCCCTCAATGAGGACTCTTGTGAGGACGAATATGTGGAGCCCCTTGAACCTGTTTATGACCCAGAACTTGACAATTGTTATGAGGAGGAGGCGTTTCACCAACTGAGTGTTATGCGTTGTATTTATTCAGCACCTACATCTCCACCTCCTGATTCATGGAAGCGCACAAGTATCTTTCAAACTTATGTCCCTTGCGGTAACAGTAGATGCCAACTAGTTATTGATGGGGGAAGTACGTTGAATGTTATTTCTAAAACTGCTGTCGATCGCCTTCAACTTCGGGCTGAGCCACACCCCCATCCTTTTCATGTTGGCTGGGTAGATAAAACCAGGTTACCTGTTACCGAAAGATGTCTTGTTCCTCTCCAATTGGGTACTTGTCATGAGCAACTTTATTGTGATATCCTACCCATGAGTGTTGCACATGTGCTACTAGGCCGGCCTTGGCTTTATGACCACCATGTGAAAAGTTGCGGCAGGGAGAACACCTATACTTTTCAACATGAGGGAAAGAACATAACACTAAAGCCTTCCAATCCGGCCATCAAACCAACTAAAGATGTTCAACCAACACTGTCACCTAAAGAGAAGGCTTATAAGCATCGGTTGAGTATTTTATCACCTATAGACTTTGCCCATGAACTGCAAGACACTGGCGTGGTCTTTGCTCTCTTGCTTAAACCGGCATCTGATTGCACCCCCACTCCACTTGTCGAACCCATACAACAACTCCTCACTGAATTCTCTGATGTCATACCTGATGACTTACCAGATGACTTACCGCCAGCAAGAGAGATTCAGCATGCCATTGACCTTGTTCCTGGTTCGCAAATTCCTAATCTTCCCCATTATCGTATGAATCCACCTGAACGAGCAGAATTGAATCGACAAATTCAGGGATTGCTGGCTAAGGGCTTCATTCGTCATAGTTTAAGTCCTTGTGCTGTTCCAATTCTCCTTACCCCTAAAAAAGATGGCTCCTGGCGAATGTGTGTGGATAGTCGCGCCGTAAATAAAATTACAGTTAAGTATCGTTTCCCCATACCGCGACTTGAGGATATGTTGGATGACTTGGCTGGTTCCCAATGGTTTTCTAAGATAGATCTTCGCAGTGGCTACCATCAGATCCGCATTCGGGAAGGAGATGAGTGGAAAACCGCGTTTAAAACCCCTGATGGCTTATATGAGTGGCTTGTTATGCCCTTTGGCATGTCCAATGCACCCAGCACGTTCATGAGGGTGATGACTCATGTGTTACGACCTTATATTGGTAAATTTCTGGTAGTTTATTTCGATGACATACTTATATACAGCCACTCTCATGAGGAACATCTTCAACATCTTAGGACGATATTCCTTACTTTACGAAAGGAAAAACTTTATGCCAACTTAAAAAAATGTTCGTTTCTTCAACCACAAGTTTTATTCTTGGGGTTCAATATTTCTGCTGCTGGGGTTAGCACAGATCCTGCCAAGGTGGAGGCTATTACTGGTTGGCCAACACCCACGACTCTGACAGAGGCACGCAGTTTTCATGGTCTTGCCTCTTTTTATCGACGTTTTATTCCAGGGTTCAGTACTATTATGGCACCAATAACTGATTGTATGAAACAAGGTGCTTTTCTTTGGACCTCTGCGGCTGCCAAGGCCTTTACAATTTTGAAGCAGAAGATGACGCAAGCACCTGTTCTTCGACATCCTGATTTGACTAAAGTCTTTGAAGTCGCATGTGACGCTTCCGGAGTTGGGATTGGTGGTGTGCTTAGCCAAGAAGGACATCCCATAGCATACTTTAGTGAGAAACTTAATGAAGCAAAGCAGCGTTATTCTACTTATGATAAGGAGTTTTATGCTGTGGTACAAGCACTTCGGTATTGGCAATATTACCTACTGCCGAACGAATTTGTGTTGTATTCAGATCATCAAGCTTTGAAATATCTGCACTCTCAACGCACCATTAGCAGTCGACATGTTAAGTGGTCCGAATATCTCCAGATCTTTACATTTGTTTTACGACACCGTCTAGGCATTGACAATAAGGCAGCCGATGCCCTTAGTCGCATGGCTAGTATTTTGCACACAATGACAGTTCAGGTAACCGAGTTTGATCGTATTAAGACTGAGTATTCGTCTTGTCCAGATTTTGGGATTATTTTTCATGAAGTTTCCAATGGTAACCGTCGCGAATATGTGGACTTTATTATGAGGGATGGGTTCCTATTTCGAGGAACACAATTATGTATTCCCCGTACATCTCTCCGTGAATTCCTTGTTTGGGAACTACATGGTGGCGGCCTCGCAGGACATTTTGGCAAAGACAAGACTATTGCCTTGGTGGAAGATCGTTTCTATTGGCCGTCGTTAAAACGTGATGTTGCTCATCTCATTTCCCAATGTCGTACATGCCAGCTAGCTAAAGCTCGCAAACGTAACACAGGTTTATATACCCCTTTGCCGATACCTCATGCCCCATGGAAGGATCTTAGTATGGATTTCGTGCTTGGCTTACCTAAGACTAGTCGTGGCTATGACTCTATTTTTGTCGTAGTTGATCGTTTCTCCAAAATGGCACATTTTCTGCCTTGTGCTAAAAATACTGATGCTTCTTATGTGGCCAAGTTATTCTTTAAGGAAGTAGTCCGTTTGCATGGGCTCCCCGTCTCCATTATTTCTGATCGCGACGTCAAATTTGTTAGTTATTTTTGGAAGACTTTGTGGAAGCTCTTCGGTACTACTTTGAAGTTTTCTTCTGCTTTCCATCCCCAAACAGATGGTCAAACTGAGGTGGTTAATCGCAGTCTTGGTGATTTACTCCGCTGTTTAGTTGGGGATAAACCTGGTAATTGGGATCTTTTATTGCCTGTGGCTGAGTTTGCTTATAACAACTCAGTTAATCGAAGTACCGGTAAGAGTCCTTTTGAGGTTGTTCATGGGTTTTCTCCCCGATCACCTGTTGATTTAGTTGCTCTTCCTGTGGCTGCCCGCGCATCAGATTCTGCTACGTCATTTGCTGAACATATTAGGCAACTACATGATGATGTCCGTAGGCAGATATCCATGCACACCGACACTTATAAACTAGCAGCCAATGTTCATCGTCGTCAACAAGAGTTTCAGGAAGGGGATTTTGTTATGGTGCGTATTTGTCCTGAGCGTTTTCCTAAGCAATCTTTTAAGAAGCTTCATGCTCGTTCGATGGGTCCTTATCGTATCATTAGAAAGCTTGGCTCCAACGCTTACTTGCTTGAGTTGCCTGCAGATATGCATATAAGTCCCATTTTCAATGTTTCTGATTTAACTCCTTATCGGGGAACCTTTTCTCCACCTATTTCTATGGATGCTGCTCAGGGTTCCGCTCCTTCTATGGTGCCGCGTCTTCCTGCTACTAGTTCTGCCATTACAGATCAGATTGAGGACGTCTTGGATCATGAAGTTGTGGCCTCGTCTACTGGAGGTTCTACCCGTTATCTGGTTCGTTGGGTTGGAAGACCTGCTACTGAGGATACTTGGATTACAGAAGCTGAATTTCGCCAGTTGGATCCCACTCTTCTGCACAATTATCAGGATGCTCTTCATGATCTTGATTTGGCTGCATCCCGTCCTCCCATCATCCATACTTACAAACGTCGTCGTCATCCTTAGTCTTGGTTTACTCGCCGGTGTCGAGTTCTTTTTCGATGGGGGAGAATGATGCAGAATGCATATTATTAGTTTTCCTTATTCTACTTGGATTAGTTTTCCTATTATTAGTTCTCCTAACTCTTAAAAGGTTCCTTCTTGGTAAAGGATTTCTTATTAGCTAATTTGCTTTCCTATTTCTTAAAGATTCCTTCTTGTTAAAGGATCTCTTATTAGTTCATTTGCTTTCCTATTTCTTAAAGATTACTTTTCCTTGTCCTAGGCTAAAAAGGGTTTTGTCTCTATAAATAGAGCTGTTTGTAATCTTTTAAGGCAGACTTGATTAATGATAAACTTCCTTACTTTAAACTCTCTGATTCCTTCCCTTTCCCTTCGTCTCTTCGATCTCTAATTCTTCTCTTCGATCCCTTATTTCTTCCCTGCTCTCTTGCTCTAGTGTTTACTCTAAACCTAAAGGCTATTTACTCTAAACCCACGGGCTGTTCTACATCAAGCATACCTGCAAGCATTGAACAAGCTCCTCAGCTGTCTCGCCTGAGCCTGATTGGTTGCAAGAAGCTTAAATCTTTACCAAAGCTTCCCCCATTGCTGCAATGTCTTCAAGCACATGGCTGCACGTCACTGAAGACAGTGTCGAGTTCAAGCACTCTACTCACACAATGTTGGGATGAATATATATTCTCTCTAGGGCTTCATGAGAAACATATATTTTCCAGTTGCCCAAATTTGGATCAGAATGCACGAAGATACATAATGGCTGATGCACAGCTCAGAATTATGCGAATGGCAACTGCGTCGTCAAAGTTTAAAGGCGAAAAAATTGAACAAGCATCATATCATTCAGATGATTCAGATTATTCCAATGACTATATAGATGAATTAGATAAGGTCTCTCTCTCTCTCCCTCTCTACCTCAAGCACACACTGTCTGTCACACTCACTTCTGTGCTGCTTTTCTTTTCACGAGTTTGATAAACTATCATGGTACAGGAAAATTTTGGGAGGAGATCTTTCGTTGCCATTAAATGTTCCGGGAATGAAATTCCAAATTGGTTCAGCCATCAAAGTGAGGGATCTTCAATAAATATGCAGCTTTCTCCTGATTGGTTTAGCACAGATTTCTTGGGTTTCGCCCTCTCTCTTGCATTGGAAAACTGTGATGCAGAAAATCAAATGAAGATTGAGTGCAAATACAACTTCAAAGCTAGTAATGGTGAAAGCCATGAAATCAACCATCCTTTGTATAATCCGTTTATGTATGGAAGCCATTTCCAAGATTCCCATCAGGTGTTTGTGTGGTATAATAATAATGTCTTTGAAGAAGTTGTAGAGGAAGCTCGGAGCCCCACTGCGTTTTACAAACTTATTACTGAGGTCTCTGTTGACTTTAAAGTACTGCAATTTTCCTACGAATCCCTTTTGGAGGAGGAGGAGGAGGAGGAGCTGGAGCTGGAGCTGGAGGTGGAACAGTGTGGGATCTGTTTGTTGTATGCCAAAGATGCTGAGATCATAAAGCAGAGGGCTTTGTAGATCAAGCGGTTATCGACGTTCATCCCTAAATTCAAATTTTCTTTTTCTTTGAGCTGTTGCTGAGGATACTTTTGAGTTTGTTAGGCTTAGGGACAGCCTCTCCATCACCAATGTTGCTTTTTGGTGCAAGATAAGCATTGTGGCTTGGCTGAGTATGCTGTTCAGTTTGTCACGCCCAATGTAAGCCATGTAATTTTCTTCATTCTTAATCATAGACGGGAAATTGGGCGCTGTTTGCATTTCTTAAATGAATTACGTTTTTGTATCAACAACACCATAAACCAATTACAAAATATTGAAATTTTGGAGGTAGAGAAAACTGGAGATGAAGAAAGCAGGGCAGTCGTTGGATTCCATGCCTAGAACACGTACTGAACAAGATCTAAAAATAAAATATAAAAGTTACAAAAGAAGAGTCGGGAGAAATTGGAGAAAATGAAAGAGAAAGTAAAGCCTGAAGACGTTGTAATGCACGAAATAACGTGATAAAAATACGCTGACTATTATGCTTACATACATTAACCTTGACAGCAGTTATATAACCGTGATATGCTGAAACTGACCAGGAATCCTTCTAAAACGATTTCTGGTCCATCTTGGGAACAACAAGAGTAGCATTCAAGATATAATAAGCTGCAACAACAGCGTCAGTTATCTGTAACAGAATCAGGAAAGGAAGCATCAGACGCTGAATCAGCAGCAAAAAGCATGATTACAAGCCAATCTTATCCCTCATGGAATTGAAAAGTTTCAAAGTCCTATCAACAATCTACAATTAGACCAAAAGCCAAAAGTACCGATTCGAATGTGTGTTTTCACATCAGCAGCCAAAAGCCAAAAGCCTAATAATTAAAATTAAATTCTCCTATAAATTCATCACAGATCATAGAATCGATTCAATTAAGATAAACTAGAAAGCTTATCCATTAGATAGAAAGGAAAAAAAGTGCAGAAATGAAATTAATAATATCTAATATACTTTACTTGCAAAGTTATCAGCGGCATTGCTGCAACAAAATCATAATGGAAAATAAATTCTACACAAATCAACATCTTGTATTGGGTTGGACCTCCATTAATTGGAGTGGGGAAATCAACACTCTAAATTAACTATCGTAGCCGTTTCATCCAAGTTCGACCCCTCTGCACACGCAAATCAAAAATGGCTTCTATTCAATTTTGAGAATAAGAAAGAAAAGAATAAATGAGAAGATGGAAGTTGAAGAAGAAGAAGGAAGGAAATGGTCTCGAGCTAAAGTGCGGCACCATGCGAATGATCTGTGATATATATATATATATATATACGCCGCTGATGAATAAAAATATGAGCATATCTGAGTCAAACAATATGGGTAGAATATTTTTTAGGTTGTATTTCATTCTCCAAACAAAAGTATTTATAGTACAAGGATGTAACCCTAATAGGGTCAAACTAGGAAACAAGATAAAATCCTAATTACACAATATCTGTACAAAAGGAAAGAAATATAATCCTAATAAACTAGGAAATAAATATCCTAATTAAGCTAGGATCTCGCTAACACTCCCCCTCAAGTTGGAGCAAAGATGTCATGCATGCCCAACTTGTCAAGCGAGTTGAGAAAGACCGTAGTAGACATAGCTTTCGTAAGAACATCTGCCATTTGATATTCGGATTATATAAATGGAAAAGAAATAATTTCAGCATCCAACTTCTCTTTAACAAAATGTCGATCAACCTCAACGTGCTTTGTACGATCATGTTGCACAGGGTTATGCGCAATTGCAATTGCAGCTTTATTATCACAATACAAATCCATGGGTTTCTGAGGTCCAAACCCAAGATCTCTCAACAATCTTCTCAACCATAGTAACTCGCACACACCTTGAGCCATCCCACGGTATTCGGCCTCGGCACTAGACCTAGACACCACTTTTTGCTTTTTACTCCTCCAAGTAACAAGATTACCACCAACAAATGTGAAATACCCAGACGTAGAATGTTTATCAGTGACTGAACCAGCCCAATCAGCATCCCTATACCCTTCCACATATGTATAACCATACTTGCAAAATATTAACTCCTTTTCCAGGAGTTACTTTCAGATACCTCAAAATACGCATCACAACACCCATATGATGTTCACTAGGAGAATGCATAAACTGACTCACTACACTCATTGTATATGCAATATCAGGATGTGTATGAGATAAATAAATCAATTTCCCCACAAGTCGTTGATAACACTCTTTATCTGTAGGGACTTGATCAGGATACAACCCCAACTTATGATTCTGTTCACTAAGGGTATCAATTGGTTTACAATCCAACATTCCAGTCTCTGCAAGTAAATCCAAAATATACTTTCTTTGAGACAGAAAGATACCATGTTTAGATCTGGCAACTTCAATCCCAAGAAAGTACTTCAAATCACCTAATGACTTCATCTCAAACTCGGAAGCCGGATACTTCTGAAGATTTTGCATTTCTGCTTGATCATCTCCAGTCATAATCATATCATCAACATAAATAATTAAAGCTATCAATTTACCTTTATGACTCTTTAGAAATAAAGTATGGTCTGAGTTACTTTACACATCCCCCAAATTTCTTCATAGATGCTGCAAATCTCCCAAACCACGCTCTTGGAGACTGCTTCAATCCATATAAAGACTTCCGAAGTTTACACACAACATCCTCCTTAGAGGTTACAGGAATACCAGGAGGGAGATCCATGTAAATCTTCTTTTTGAGATCACCATGTAGAAACGCATTTTTGATATCGAATTGTAATAAGGGCCAGTCGCGGTTAGCAGCCAGGGACAATAGTACACGCACAATATTGAGCTTTGCCACTAGAGCAAAGGTCTCCAAATAATCCATTCCATAGGTCTGAGTATAACCCTTTGCTACCAATCTAGCCTTGTACCGGTCAATGGAACCATCAGCTTTATGTTTCAAAGTAAACACCCATCTGCATCCAACAACTTTCTTCCTTCGTGGCAAATGAACTAAATCCCATGTTTTATTCTTATTCAATGCATCCATTTCAACATTCATGGCATCCATCCATTTTGGGTTAGATAAAGCATCCTGCAGCTTAGTTGGCACACATACATTAGATAATTGACACAAATATGATGCACATGACTTAGACAAATGATGAGTTGACACATAATGGCTAATGGGATATTTAGACTTTGCATGTATATCAGGAGAATATTGTACTTTAGGTTTCCCACGAGTGGTTTGTGGGGGTAACTGATAAATTGACACAAATAGATCATTAGAAATTACCTCACTTGATTCACTATCACGAGTAGATTGGGGCACTGGCAGGGCAGAGGGGGGTATTGCATCGAACTCCTCCATACAAGAATCACTGTCATTATTTTCAGATACAGGCGACTGGTCACTTGCTTCAGTGTGACTGGTCATTTCGACACTGAGAGCACCTGCTTCATCTCCAGATATGGGCGATCGGTCGAGTTCCAAAGGGCGATCAGTGACCACAAGTTTCATCTTCAGATATAGGTAGCCGGTCACTTGCTTTAGTGCGACAGATCGTTTCCTTCCCGAGAGTAGTATCTTTAAACACATCATTCTCCAATCCAAGACTCTCCAATTCACTCCTCTTCTCCCCCTAAATTGGTGAGGAGGGAGAGACATAATAAGGCACTTCTTCATGGAAAGTCACGTCCAAAGTAACATGCACCTTCTGGGTAGGTGGATGATAGCACTTATAACCCTTCTGAGTAGAAGAATAACCAATAAAAATACATCACATAGCATAAATATTAAGTTTACTCTGTTGATGAGAGTAGACATGAACATAGGCAACACACCCAAAAACTTTAAGGGCAACTTGGAGACTGAGAAAGGGAAGACATGGTCACCAAACACATCATGTGCAGTCTTGAAATCAAGAACCTGGCTAAGAGTATGATTAATCAAATAGGCAGCAGATAAAACAGCATGCCCCCAAAGATGATAGGGAACAGACATATCCAACATAAGGGAGTGAGCAACTTCAAGTAACTGACGATTCTTGCGTTCAGACACACCATTCTGCTAAGGAGTAAATGGGGTTGTCGTTTAGTGAATAATACCTTGAGCATAGAAGACAGATGCCAAAGTGTTATTCACATATTCGCCTCCGTTATCAGTCCGGAATACTTTGACCCGAGCATGAAACTGAGTAAACACCATAGTACAGAACTCTAGAAGGATGGAAGCAACATCATGTTTATTTTTCAGCTAGAAAACCCAAGTGAGTCGGGTACAATCATCAATAAATGTAACGAACCAAAGAAATCCGTTCGAAGTAACGCGAGCTAGACCCCACACATCAGAATGCACTAAATCAAAAGGCTTGGAAGCTTTACTGTCACTCGAAGGAAACACAGTGCGATGACTCTTAGCCAAAATACATGTCTCACACTTAAAACTGGACTCATCACAAGAGCGGAATAAATATGGAAATAGATGCTTAAGGTAGCCAAATGACGACGATGCCACAACCAAATTTGTTGTTTGTCTTTGACATTGCAACTTTGAATAGTATTAACGACACGATCACAAATTGGTGTAGAAGGCAATGTCAAATAATATAACCCCCCCTATCCGTTTACCATGCCCAATCGTCTCGTGAGTCTTGAGATTTTGAAAAGAGTAATGCGTAGGATAGAAAGTAGCAGAAACATTGAGTGTCTCAAGTAATCGACCAACAGATACCAAGTTATAATGGATATTGGGAACTAGTAATGCACGAGACAAGGACAGAGTAAGAGTGAGAGAGATTGTGCCCTCACCAGTAATTGGAGAGGGCAAGCCATTAGCACTAGTTATGTATGGGTCACAAGTGTTATTAGACAACTCATCAAAAAATTTAGTATCATAAGTCATATGATCAGAAGCACCAGTGTCAATTATCCAAGTATTGGAGCCAGTACCTTGAATAGAATCAGAAACACACAAATTTACAGGGGCAGCACCAATAATGGAGTTATCACCCATGATT